AGGCCCATTGTCTGCCAACCCTATATATGATCTTGGATACACTCCCCATTTAGACATACCTAATTGTTTAGCTTGTTCACCTATCTATCCATCCATATACCCATGTTTGCTTTCACTGACAACTCAGTACTGTATATGCAAAAGGGTTCATATTTGTTGTCTGTACTGTCCATTATTACATAGACTTTTGTAGCCATTCAGTATCAAAATGATTTAGGTGAATCTTATTAAAAATAGTTAATAATTTTCTTCCTTTTTTAAATTACTTATTCCCTTTTACTTTAATTAGTTTTGACTTAATCAAATAAAAATCTTTATTTTATTTCCAGTGACCCTGGTGATTTTTTTTAGTTGAATGTTTTATGTTATATAATTGAACATACCCTCAATAGTCACTGAAAATTAGAATTGCTTAGTACATTGAAAGCCACAGAGTAATGGTTATCTAATCCCATTTCCTGAATTGACACACTATGAATATTCCCTGCTTAGGTTCTAATATTATCAAACAATCTTCTAAAGAAGCTTCCCCATGGTCTTGGAAACCTTAGGAAGTTAAGAGAATTGGATCTAGAGGAGAACAAATTGGAATCCTTGCCAAATGAAATTGCGTATCTTAAGGATTTACAGGTAAAACGTTATCATGATAGTTTTATAATTGCATGATTAAATTTTTTGGTGGTTTAGTGGCTAAAGTGTTTGGCTACTAACCTAAAGGTTGGTGTTTCAAACTTACCGGCTGCTCCATAGGAGAAAGATGAGGTAGTCTCCTTCTGAAAGGATTTCAGCCTTGGAAACCCTGTGGGGCAGTTCTGTTCTGTAGGCTCAGTGAGAGTCAGAATTGACTCGATAGCAGTGAGTTTTTGGTTATTCCAAATTGTGTATTTTTTTTTTTTTAAGAATTTGGTCTAATTCTTACACCAGATAGATTTTCCTATTAAATCATTGATAGGACTGAGTTTTATGTTCGTATCATCTATCTGCTTTTGTCTTCTTGACAAATGATATTTTTTTCGAGAAAAACCTATACCATATTAAATGATTCTCATCCTATCCAACTTGAATTCCTTATTAATTTATTTTATTGGTTTAGTAGATGTACTATTTTAAGGTCACATCAGTTGTAGGAAATATACATGTAAACTCTTTTTTTTATTGTGTTAATCTTTCAGAAATTAGTCTTGACAAACAACCAGTTGACCACTCTTCCAAGAGGCATTGGTCACCTTACCAATCTCACGCATCTAGGCCTTGGAGAGAATCTGCTCACTCATCTTCCTGAGGAAATTGGTATGAACTGTTTGGATGTTTGCCTTTCTGCTAATGATTTTCTCTTGTGTGTTCAAGCAGTATTTCTGATAAATAGGACATACCAGTTTTTGTAAACTGAGGTTGTATCAGTCTGAAGATTTTTTTTTTTTAATGTGGTGTACTACCTAAGGCATTTGACTGCTAACCAGAAGACTGGCAGTTCAAACCCACCAGCCACTCCTTGGAAGGAAGGTTGGGCACGCTACTTCTGAAGAGATACTGCCTTGGAAACCCAAGGAGGGGTCGCTATGAGTCGGATCGGACTCAAAGGCAGTTAGTTTTTTTTTTTTTGGTTTTAGTAAGTAAACAGTAGACCTCACGTTGGTAATTCCATCTTTTATGTTCTTCCACCTATACCATGCTGTTCCAGAGATACTATAGATTAATGGTTAAGAATAAAACAAGACAATTCCATACCTACCTCTGCTGCTTACTGGCTTTATGATATTGGAAAAGATACTTAAATTCCTTAAGCCTCAAGTTTCATGCTTGTGAAATAAAGATGATAATAGTACCTTCTCAAAGGGTTGTTTTGAAGATTAAATAATAATCTTATATGTAAACTAATTTATTATCTTCTCTCGTATTTTTACTAGTCTTCTGCACACTACTAGCCAGTATTCCAAATGTTGATGTTTAAAAATTGGAGAGACACTTTACACTGTTATTTTCAGTGTATTCAGCTGGTCTCACACAGTTGCTTGAGATACTTGCCTAGACTACAGTGCATTATCTTAAGACAGTCTAAAGAAACTTTTTAAAGATTAATTTTTTTTTCACTTATAGCGAAATATGTGATAACTCTTTTGGTGAAGAGAAAATTATTAATATGAGATTGTCACATTATCTGCAAAATAAAGTGATTCTAAACACTGTTGCCAAAGGGGCCTTGAGGCTGCATATTCTTACCTCCTCTAACCCCACAAGAGGAAGACAGAATCACCATCAGTAGCCCAAGGCCTGTTCCTGTGAAGGAATAGGAGACATGTCTCCCTCCAGCCCTTACACCAATCGTTTCTCCCACAGCACCCACCACCTCTCTACCACCTCTCTACTGGGTTTGATAATTTGCTGCAGTGGCCAAACACAACTCACAGATTATAGGTTTATTAGGGAAGCAACAAGCTACAATTCAAGTTCAGAAATGTACTCAGTCTCTTGCAGCCAGCCATCTCACTTAGCAGCCAGCAGTCTCTCTCTCAGCAGAGCATGTCTCTCGTCTCTCTCTCTCTCAGCAAGTGTGTGTCTCTCAGGAGCACGTTTCTCTCAGCAGCATCTCTTTCTCAGCCAGCAGTCAGAGAGACTCCTTCTGCCTCTAGGAGGGCTCTTTTTGAGCCTGGCAGAGTGGCCAAGCTAACCAATCCCAACATCAGAATTCTATACACCTGAGAGAGAGAGAGAGAGAACTTCCCAGAAGACTGCTTCCTGCCACTCTCAACAGAAAGACCCCAGGTGGATAACTTGAACAATCAGGAGCTACTCAGTTGCTCACAGCAAATTCCACCATGGAGTTTACAAAGACTTATGGCTAGAAAAGCCACACTGTGTAATTTACTACACTGCAACTGGATGATAAACTCATCTCTGAAGCCCTGAAAAAAAAAAAAATGCATATGCATATGGATATCAAACTGTCCCAGAGAATCCCTGGGGTTGGAATATGTGTATTTTTAAAAAATCTCCAAGCTTGAAAACCAGTCATAAAGGAAGAGTCCTGTTAGTATTAAAGAATGGCTTTCACACTTGGCCACATAAGTCATCCACCAAAACTCAAAACCACACTGCCATCGAGTTGGAGCTGACTCACAGGACCCCTCTTTGGCTTTGTGAGGTGGTGTCTCTATGGAAGTAGACTGCCCAGTCTTCCTTCTGAGGAGTGGGTGGTGGGTTTGAACCACCAGCCTTCTGGCTAGCAGTCAGATACCTTAGACATTATCCCACCAGAGCTCCTATAAATTATTTAGGAGGCTTTTTAGAAAAATTATCTAAGAGGCTTTAAAAAATATTAATATCTGAGTTGTAACCGCAGAGATTCTGATTTAATTGATGTGGGGTGTGACTTGGACATTGGGGTTTTAAAAAAAATCTCCCCGGTTGATTTTGAATATGGAGCAAAATTCGAGATCCATGGTTGAAGAGAGATTGAAAGCTAAGAAAAGAGAATATGAGGAAGGGTGTATTCAATGCGTATAATGAATGCCTCGGATAGTATCACACACAGTTGAACTTTTTAAATAATAACTTACTTGTTTTGTATAATAATTGATTTGCTTTTCTTTCTTTTTTTTAAAAAAAAAAAAAAAAAACAGGTACACTGGAGAACCTAGAAGAACTGTATTTGAATGACAACCCCAACCTGCATAGCCTTCCCTTTGAGTTGGCTCTCTGCAGCAAGCTTTCAATCATGAGTATTGAGAACTGTCCACTCAGTCACCTTCCACCTCAGATTGTTGCTGGGGGACCTTCTTTCATCATCCAGTTCCTAAAGATGCAGGGTCCATACCGTGCCATGGTCTGATACCAACCCTGGGTCCTGCACACTGTTCAAAAATAGACTGCCATTAAGGGGTTCATATCTTTATCTGTATCTATTTATGTAGATATTGATATATATGGCAGATTTATAAAGACTGCATTGTGTTTCTGCTAATAGAGGAATCATAGCCATTTAGATTTTTTTTTAAATTCTGTACAAAAGCTTATGTAAGTTTTCTTTGCTGAACTTGATGGATGTTTTTCTCGTGTAATCTGATATGCCAGTTTGCTTAAAACATTTGCCAACAAATTATGAAGTTATTAAGTTTAAGGAACAGAGGTAGTATAATTAGATATACTTTCTCTTGGGAAAAATAATGAAGATTTTTGTTGCAACTTTTCATATACACTTTCCCCTTACCAGTTGTCATATCATTATAGTATTATAGGCCCTGAGATAGAATTTTCTTTAACTTATTTTGAGATTTGAGATTTAAATTTTATGTATTGTTTACAGTCAGAGTAAATCACTGGATTTTTTTTTTTTTGATTTGCTCTGTTTTCATCAAATCTAGAATGTATGTCCTCTACTAAAGAATTTGAATCAATTGGTTTAAATATTAAGAGACTTGCTTGTTGAAACAACTAGCAAAGTGAAAACAGTCAAAAATTCTGGGGTTCCTTTCATTGTGCTGCTTTGATCAGTTGTGAAGCAGAATATCTGAAGTGAGACTGGGTGGGGGAGGGTATTAACACCATTTCTAATATAAATATCTTTTTCTTAAGTTTAGAGGAACAAAAACTTGTAATGAAAAGGAGTTTTCATTCCCAGAAGTTGCAGATCTACAAAAAATATTAATTTGGAAAAAAAAAAACAAAAAACTTTACACATAAACACACATTCTATATATGTATATACAATGCTATATAGACATGTATTTATTATATCATAAACAACAGTAGATAACTTTTAAGGATTTCTCCCTATCCTTGTACAATGAAATGAATGTCTTTCTTTGAACACTGCAATGTATGTACGTTTCAAGGTTATTTAACAGTGTACTATGGTTTTATATCTTGACTTGCCTTGTACATCTTTCAATTCTGGAATATCTGTGTCTAAGCACAATATCTTCACACTGTGCTGTATTGCTGCTGAGCTAAATGCACTTTTGCCCACATGTGGGGCACTGGCTTCAAACGATTCAGTTCAGTACCATTAATTTTAATCTCATCTTTCCTTTCTTGTTGTTAGTACACTTACTGAAAAGAGGCACATTGTGCATAGAAGCCATTGATAGTTCAGTGGAAGTTCTGTAAGATGTGCATGTGCTATTTGATATATTTTCTTTCGCTTTACTGCTTTTAAGGCTAGCAGTATTGTAAGTGTGTGCCCCTTACACAGTACTGTTACTTTTGGTAGTGTTGGTCTAAATCAGTTTAATTACTGCGGAGGCTCACAGAACAAGTACATTCTTGATATCATCCTAAAAAAACACTTCCCACATAGCAAGTAACTTAAGTATAATTATGTAGTGCTGCTTTTTAAAACAAAAATTTTTTTTGCCATTTAGATGGGCACTGTGTTTTAAACAAAATATTTTTGAATTAAGGTTGTAATATGAAGATAAAAATTGGGAGTGTTGTTTCATTTTTCCTGGCATACGAATTCAGTACTAGGTTTGAGGTTGAACCTATCTTCTTAATTGGCATTTTTATAAGGAGCAATGTAGAAATGGATGGCAGGTGAAGATATAAAACCCTAGAATGCTTAAATGTGCTGTAAAACTATTGTAGATGTCACTGGATTTTACCAAGTAATATCCTTCCTTCTTTTCTCCATCTACTGTGGCTTTTCAGTTAAAATTTTGTTTATCAAAGAAATTTGTTTATTACAGCTCTCCCTAGAGCTTGTGTGTATGTGTGGTTTTTCAGATCTTTTACATCCAGGTGTGTTTAAATATTAAGGTAATGGAACTTGAATTTTAAAGACAGTAACCTAATGTCTTTTCTTGAAAATCAATTACGGCTATTGTTTCTTAAAATGAAAATAGATATGTTTTTTTAAAACATTTTGGTTCCCCTACCTTTATTTATATTAGTCTAGTGGCTAAGGCACTTGACTGCTAACCAGAAGGCTGGCGGTTCAAACCTACTAGCCACTCCTCGGAAGGAAGATGGGGAAATCTACTTCCGTAGTGATACTGCCTTGTAAACCCAAGGAAGGGTCACTGTGAGTCGGGTCTGACTCGATGACACATAACAACCACAACAACATTATAGAAGTGCAAAATGATCACACAGTCTGTGGTAGTAAGGTAGTTGTCAACTTGGCTGGGCCTGGTTGAGTGGCTGGGCAGCTGGATGTAGTTATTCCCCATGGTGAGATTGCCAATCAGTTCCATGGTGGAATCTACTGGAGAAGCTGAGTAGCTGCTTCAGGGGTGTGGGCTGCTTCCAGTACATAAGAAGCAGCTTTGAGGAAGGTTTCCAGCTTTTTGGCATGCTTGAACCCTGCACGTAGCCAAGTCATTGATCAACAAACAGCCTGCCGTGCCCTGCCGATCTTGGGACTTTTTCCGGACTTGAATTAGTGGCCTGCCAAGTTGTTTGGTGATATCAAGACTGTGCCTTTTTTTACTTGTCGACCTTGGGTTTGTCAGCCTCAGCAGCCAGCTGCTGCCGGAGTGAAGAAAAGCCTCTAGCTTTATAGTGGGCTGGGAGCAAGAGGCAGAGCTGAAGCCCAAGGTCGATGGAGTTTCACCCAGCTCCTAGAGCTTGGCACTTTGAACATGGACTCCCAGCCTCCAAAAACTGTAAGAGAATAAATTCCTGTTTGTTAAAACCATCCCATTTGTGGTATATTCCTGTCAGAGTGGCAGTAGGTAACCAAAACATGGTCTTACCCATAGAAGTGATGCTACCTGCAAACAATATATAGTTGAGGAGTTATAGAAATTTTTGAGAAGCATATGTCCTCTGTATGGCTTCCACCTTGTAAGAGTCCATGAATTTCATTACCACTTCTACCAAAAAACTCAAATGAACTCTAATTAGGATATTTTGTGATATCAAGATATTTAATGTGTAATTAGTTGAATATACTAAAGGATATTGTTGAATGACTATATATGAGCTAATACTTCTGAAACTGCAGTGGGATTAATGCATATCCAAAATTTTTCCTTTCTTGTAAAGAAATTATGTTTATAAAACAAGGAGATACCATCTCACCCAACACTAATATCAAAGTTCAAAAAAATAAATAACAAATGTTGCTGAGGATGTGGAGAGGCTGGCATCTTCATACACTGATGATGGGGCTGTAAAATGGTACAACTACTATGGAAAATAGTATGACACTTCCTGAAAAAGCTGGAATAGAAACACCATGTGAACCAACAGTTCCACTACTAGGTAAATATCCTGGAGAAATAAGAGCCGTGACATGAACAGATACATGCACACCCATGTTCATTGCAGCACTATTCACAATAGCAAGAAGATGGAAACAACCTAAGTGCGCCCATCAGTAGAGGAGTGGATCAACAAACTATGGTACATACACACAATGGAATACTATACAACACTGAAGAACAATGATGAATCTGCAAAACAATGTGAATGAACTTAGAGGCCATTATGCTGTGTGAAGTTAGCTAATCACGAAAGGACAAATATTGTATGAGACCACTATTGTAAATAATCAAAATATTTTCACAAAAAAATATTCTTTGATGGTTACCAGGGATGGGTGGGGAAGGAAGGGTAATCTAGTAACTAGAGGGTAGACATACTAAATTGGCTGAAGGGAAAAACAAAACAAAACATATATATATCTATATATATATCTATATATATATCTATATATATATCTATATATATATCTATATATCTATATATATACACACACACACACACACGTTTAGTCTCTCCATGAGGCTCTTAGGAGTAACTAAAGAATGTCATAGAATGTGACGTAGTCAAAAAACCTTGCTCTACACTTCCTATTGTTAATGATGTAGCAGCAATGGTAATGAGAAACAGGCCTCCTTTTGTGTGAATTTAATCCTAAATCAAAGTTTTATAAAAAAAAAAGAAGAGGGAGATGCTAAACAATTGATGGACTTGACAGATCCAATGAAAACAGTAGAAGATAGAAAGCCTTGGAGGGGAAAACACATAAAATGTTTATTTGTAGTTATATTAAAATGTGGAAAATGAACAAACAGCAGCTGCCTGCCTTCCCACTCCATCCTGTTATGAGGTATCAGGACAGATCTATCATCCACCACACCGCACCACACTTTATAGTCAACCTTTCCATCCAGCCTCTCTCTCAACCTGTGAAGCAAGCAAGGCGTTCAAAATCATGCTCACTCACCAGAGGAGGGTACTACACTTCAGACAGGCCGGAGAAGTTGTCTAAAGTCCCACAGCTAAAACGCTTAGGAAAGGGGAACTTTGGCTTCAAGAAGGGCCCTGAAAAAAGGAGGAATGGATCTTCATGAGAGTTATAGATAGCTCAGGGTAGGACCCAACTGTCCAAGCTTTGGTATGTCATCTGCCATTACTGAAAGACCGGACAGAGACTACCTTGTCCTCTTCCCACCCAATCTGTGGATAAGGAGACAGTGTAGAAAGCTGGAATCCTGTGTCCCAAAGTGTACAAGTGAAGTGGCAGAGGCAGGTTAGAGCTGAAAAACCCTTCGGATGTTAACACATGGGAACACTTTCTACATTCATATTGGCTCATGGTTTTTGTTCTGTTTTGTTTTTAAAGTGATGGAATGAGCTCTAAAAATCTAATTGCACACATTTCTAATTTATCTCATTGTCCAAGCTGAATCTGACATGGTTAAGCCGTTTTGCATCACAGTTTACCTAGTTTTTGTGATAATGTTTATGATAACCTTTTGCTTTTCATCTGAGTTATTTGTAAGCTATGTGTATTGAGTCATTTGTGCTTGTAGAATTTTAATTGTTGGTAAGAATGGGGCATGATTTTTGTTTCTTTTGAAACAGAAAGAGGCCACTATCATT